CTCCCACCATACACAAAAAATAACTCCCGATGGATCACATATTTAAATATAAAACCTAAAACAGTAAAGTCCATCAAAAATAAAATAGGGGCAAACTTAGGGACCCTAATATATGGCATTAATAGAGTATTAAACATAAGTAAAAATAAAAAAACAGCAGAAGATAAACTAGACGACTGGGACCTTCTAAAAATTAAATCCATAGGCCTATCAAAAGAATTCTCCAAAGTATAAAAAGAGAACTTACAGACTGAGAAAAAAATATTCGGCAATGATATATCTGACAAGGGACGTATCTCGAAACTTTACAGAAAACTCCAACATCTCAACATCCAGAAGACAAACTACTCACTTAAAAAATAGGCAGAAGACATGAACAGACACTTCACCAAAGAAGATATTCAGGCAGCCAACAAACAAGTGAATAAATGCTCTCAATCATTAGCCAACAGAGAGATGCAAATCAAAACAATGATGAGGTATCAACTCACCCAGCAATAATAGCGAAGTTCAATAAGACAGAAAATAACATGCTGGCAAGTATGTGGAGAGATTGGGACTCTCACACACTTCTGATGGGGATGTAAAATGATACAAGCATTGTGAAAAATAGTATGGCACTTTCTTAAAAATTTGGAAACAGAAATACCACTTGATCCAGCAATCCCATTATTAGGTATATACCCTAAAGAAGGGAGGGCCAGGACTTGAATAGCTATATGCACAACCATGTTCATTGCAGCACTATTCACAATAGCAAAGAGATGGAAACAACCTAAGTGCCCATCAATGGATGAATGGATAACCAAACTACGGTACATACTGCACATAACACTAAAGAATAATGTAGAATCTGCGAAATACCTCATAATGTGGCTGAACTTGGAGGATATTACAGAGTGAAATAGAAGGACGATTATTGTATTAGTCCACTATTGTAAACAGTCAAGGAAAGGTTTACATATGGAAAGAAACTTTGTTACCAGGGATGGGAGCAGAGGGGCAGGAAAATTGCTAGATAGGTAAGAGACAATTATTGACTTGGGTAAATAGAAAGGTAATATTCCAAAAGTGAATGACCAGCACAGTAACACTAAGGAAAAGAAAGACACAGAGAGGTGTACAAGAGGTATAAGCAACAAAGATAAACACTTACACATACATAATACTGCACTATCAGTAATAACAAACATTAATCTACAGGTGGATACATAGGTGGTGGTAGTGTTGTGGTAGTGCTATGACCTGACTCATAGCGACCCCTCCTTGGGTTTCCGGGGCGGTACCACTATGGAAGTAGATCGCCCAACCTTCCTTCCAAGGAGTGGCTGGTGGGTTTGAACCGCCAGTCTTCTGGTTAGCAGTCAAGTGCCTTAGGCACTATGCTACCAGAGCTCTCGGATACATGGATAGACAGGCTAAATGATCAGGTATGGCTAGGCAAAAAGGAATATACCTATGACCATATACAAGTTTGGCAGGTATTTCTACATATGTATCTGTATGTGCTATAAGAATGTCCATATATAAAATAGAGCTAACAGGGGGCAAAGTTATAACCTCTTAGCCACAGCCAGACACCTTGAGGGAGTAAGTTACTGGGCCCAAGGGATTGGGACCATGATCATGGAGGATATCAAGCTCAATCAGCATAATATACCACACAAAAACACTGTTCTACGTCCTACTTTGGTGAGTAGCCACTGGGGTCTTTAAAAGCTTGCAAACAGCTATCTAAGATGCAAAAATTGGTCTCTTTGTCCAGAACAAAAAAGAATGAAGAAAATCAAAGATGCATGGAAACAGTTAGTCCAAGGACTAGTGGACCATGTGAACTCTGAGACCAGAAGGAAGAACTAGATGGTGCCTAGCTGCCACTGTCAACCACTGGGAAAGGGATCAGTATAGGAGATCCTGAATAGAGTGGGAGAAAAATGTGGAACAAAGCTCAAAATCATAAAAAAGAGCAGTCTTACTAGTCTGCTAGAGACTGGTAAAACTGCCGAGACTAGGCCCCTAGTCACCCTTCAGGCCTGGAATTGATCTCATTCCCTGTGGCTTCTAGCCAAACAGGCCTATAAGGTGAACACTTACTTCAGGCAGGTACATTCCATAGAATGGTTAACCATGGGAGATGAGAAAGGCTGCATTTGCACAGGGAGATAGCTCAGAGGGCAGGAATACATAGGGAATAGAAGGCACAGGAAAAGGTAACCACAGAGAGAAAGTGAGAAGAGAGCTGTTCCATTATTGGGATTGTAATCAATGGCAGGAAAACAAAATGTGTATGAACTGTTGAATGGAAAATGAATTTGTTTTGTAAACTATCACCTAAATCACAATGAAAAAAAGATAAAAAGAGCTTATGATATTTTGAGAAATATAGGGAAATGCCTCTACTACTTGGCACAAGAAATGGATAACTATATAATTAAATTCCTGACAAATGTTATAAAGCCAAAGTATCAGTTAGTTTAAGCTGATAAAACAAGGCGAGGTGATAAATCTTTACGGAAGTCGACTGCCCATTCTTCCTGCCCCAGAGTGGCTGGTGGGCTTGAATTGCCAACCTTCTGGTTAGCAGTCAAATAACCTTAGGCACTATGCCACCAGAGCTCCTTTAGCAATTGGTTTAAGCTGATTAAACAAGAGGACTGTGGTAGTTAAGGTTATGTGTCATCTTGGCTGGGCAGCTGGTGGTAGTTATTACTCATGATGAGACTGGCAATCAACTCCATTGTGGAATCTGCTGCGAGCAGGTAAGTAGCTGCTTTAGGGATATGGTCTGCTTCTCGTATATGAGAAGCTTTGGGAATGAATGGTCTGTAGCTTTTGGGATGCTTGACTCCTTCATGGAGCCATTATCCAGTCATCTGCCATGTTGTCCGCCAATCTTGGGACTCTTAACAGACTTGAATCAATGGCCTGCCATGTGGCTTGGTAATATCCGGATTGTGCCTTTTAACTTGTCAACCTTGGGTTTCTCAGACTCAGCAGCCAGCAGCTGCTTGAGTGAAGAAAGCCCCCAGTTTCAGTGGGCTGGGAGCAAGAGGCAGAGCTGAAGCCCAAGGCTGAAGTGCTTTCACCCAGCTGCTAGAGCCTGGTACTTTGAACATGGACTTCTAGCCTCCAAAACTAAGGGAACAAACTGTTAAAGACACCCATCTGTGGTATTTCCTGTCAGAGCAGTGCTGCTGTTGTTGTTGTTATTTGCTATCGAGTTGAACCTGACTCATAGCGACCCCTCCTTGGGTTTCAGGGGCAGTATCACTACGGAAGTAAATTACCCAACCTTCCTTTCGAGGAGTGGCTGGTGGCTTTGAACTGCCAGCCTTCTGGTTAGCAGTCAAGTGTCTTAGGCATTACACTACCAGAGCTCCTAGAGCAGCACTAGGTAACCAAAACAGAGACCAACATTTTGGTTAGTGCTTCAGAAAAGGCCTTTCTGTGGAACTTATATTTAAGTTGAAGTTTGATGGATAAGGAGAAATCTGCTAGGTTATTAAGGGGTAAGTATTTCAGAAGCAAAAAAATACAGGTAGAATACACAGTTCATTAGAATTGGGGCTAGAGCCTAACGAATAGGAGAGGTAGGAACAGAGGTTAGAGACAGGAGGTGGTTCATGTCCATGGGGCAAAATGGATATACCTAAGGGACAAAGGGGAACCATGAAATGGTCTCTAAGAGAGTATGTGGATAATTTTGGAGATATGTAGAGACTTCAAGGAGTTCTGGTAGCATAGTGCCTAAGGCATCTGACTGCTAACCAGAAGGTTGGTGGTTCAAGCATGCCAGCCAGTCTGTGGGAGCAAGACTCGGCAATCTACTTCCGTAAAGATTTACTGTCTCAGAAACCCAAAGGAGATCGCTATGAGTCAGAATTGACTCAATGGCAGTGGGTTTAGTTTGGTTTTGGTAGTGACTTCATTGGGGAAGGGGTAGAAACAGAAAATTGAAACACCAATTAGAAGACAATTATTTATTCCCAGGTGAATGATAAAGGAGACTTAGACTAAGAAAGTGCAAAAGAGCCTGATTAATGGAGAATGATGAGAGCTCTTCTGGAGGCAGAACTGAGAAACTCAAAGAGAGATTAGATATGGAGTGTCAGAGAGAGAAAATTACCAAGAATGACCCTAAAATCTGCAGAATGAGAAACTGGAAAGGTGAAGATGTCATTGACTGAGATTAAAAAAGAAAGGGGGAGAGAGAGAGAGAGAGAGAGAGAGAGAGAGAGAGAGAGAAATTAAAGACAGGAAAAGGTAGAAAGATCAAGAATTGTTTTAGACAATATTACACACTAGTGAGATAGCCACTTGAACATATCAAGTAGACAACACCTGGATATATGGATGTGGGGCTCAAAGGAGAGGTCTTTTGAAGAAATAAACTGGAATACTATTATCATATTGATGGTTAATAATGTTTTAGAATGGATAAAATCTCCTATGTTGTTGTTGTTGTTATGTGCCATCGAGTCAGACTTGACTCATAGTGACACCTTCTTGGGTTTCCGAGAAGTAGATCGCCCAATTTTTCAAAGTATAAGTCATCATGCTTCTTTAGTGAAAAGGAAAACCACTTTAGAGGGCTGAGTCTGAAGGCATAAGCTTACATATTATAAACTGATACACATATGGACATAAAATATAGAAACAGTGATTTATTAAAGGGTGGGGATTCTTAGTTTTGTGTGTTTTTCTCTATTCATTATTGTTGCAATATCTAATAATTTTTAGAAAATATGAGTAGTAGTGAAGTTTGGTCATTTGTTTATTAAAGTTCTTAATTAAACCTCTGGTCTTAAGGAAAAGGGCATGGCTTCTAACTTTTGCTTTCCTACTTGTTTATCCTAAATCCTGGGCATTTATTTTATTTTTCTGTGCTTATTCCCTTGACCGTAAAATAACTCCAACCTCACCCACTCCCATGACTGACATGAGAATTCTGACAGAATGTACTAGAAAATACTGTGTAACATTTAAGTCATATATGCTACCAAGTTCTATTAATACAAACCCTTTTAGTTTCTCTTGCAGGACTTTTAGTTCTTCACCTTTAGACTTTGTTTCCTCTTCCAGTTGTTTCGTCAGCCTTTCAGCTTGTTCCTCTTTTTGCTGTAACTTATCTAACTCACCCAATGCTTGTTTTAATTCTTCCTCAAAGAGATTCCTCTCTTTAATCATTTCCTCTTGAAAAGAACATAGTCTTTGCTGAAGACCAGAAGATAATTCCTATGTCCAAATAGAAACCATCAAAATAATTAAAAATGACATTTTGAAGTTTTACTGAGAGACTGAAAAGCAGCACAGGTAAGTGGGAGGAGAGCTGTTGTACCGTGGGAGATTGCAGTCAATGTCATGAGACAAAGTGTATGCGAACTGCTAAATGGAACA